CATGTATGTTGCAACTTTGAATGACAAACTTTTCACATTCTTATAGATTAGAAGAAAATTATTTGAAGACATTTAGTTTCATAAACACTTTGAATGTTGCTGGTTTATTTTCCTAGAATCTCTTCTAATACTTTTTATTCTCTTTGAGCTAGAAACCTGTCTTTTTATTTCTCTACAAGTTCTCTGAAAGAAAAAAAATGACTTAAAATTAGAAATTGTGAATATAAAACCTACAAAATTAAATAGAGTATGATGTCTTTTTGAAATGTCCACACAGGAACAGTCTAATGCTTTTTGTGAAATAGTTCTGTTGTCTATGCCTTGAAGCATAGTAACTAATATAATAATATGAGTGCATTTAAAATATTTCAAAATTATGAAAAGACATGTACTGATGTTTAGAAGATGAGGATTTTCAATTGAAAAAGTAGATTAGCAGTATGTATTGTATATTCATATATATATACACACATACGTATTTAGAAAGGGTTTTCTTGAAAATGTGTTTGTTAAACGAGAGTTTCCCATTGATGGTATGTTAATTTGAATTTGCTGTCTGGTTTTGAATATCTTATGGGATGTTTTATTTGTTGCATATTCTCTCCCTTAGGCAGCAGACTGTTCACAACCATTACTACCTTGACTTGAGGAGACTTCAGAAGCTCATCCCTCAGTTTTCTTCTGGATGTTTGGTGGCAGAAATTCACTATTAGTGGCAGCTGGGGCTGACCTCCAATTTGGCTTTCTTTATTAGTGCAGCTGAAATTATAGACCCTGTCTTCAAGAGAAATAGAAGGTGGGCCAAGATAAAATTCACTATTTGTTGGAAGGAGCGAAGTAGAAGTATTTGTATTGAGGATGCTCTTGTTTTGACTACTCCCTTCTCCTTTAATGAAGGAGGAATTTTCCCATCCTAAAAAAATATGAGATGACACAGCACTAGACGGAAAGATTGATAGCAGTTTATTAGTCACACATCTGAGGGAGGGAGGCCACCACATGCTGTACAGGGCTGCACAGGGATTGTCCTGGGTAGCAGGGTGAACCAACAGTGTATGTGAGGGCAGGATTTGTAGTAACAAAAAGGCGAGAGTGATTCTTAGTTTCCACTGGAGGATGTGATTGAGCAATTTTCCTGGTAAGGAGGTGAAATCCATTAGGTTGAAGATAGGTGAGATGGAGATGGTTCAGCTGGTACAGGAGCCTGCTGGGTGGGAGGCACATCTGGCAAGAGAAGAAGGGCTCATGGCTGGGCTTTGGAGACCTTGTGACGTACAAAGACATCAAGGAAGCATATGGAATTTTAGTCCTTACAATACAGTTCTCATGTTTTTAAAGTTTAGTGGAGGTATGAGACAGGAACAAGTAGTACCTTGTCCAGCTGCAGGGCTATGAGGTACTATGGGGCCTCTGGACCACTATAAAGAAGAGGTCCAGCTGGATGTCCACAGGAAAAGCAAGGAGTACAGGGTTCTACCCACATGTGATAGGTCGAGCTCACAAAAGGGGCCACAAAACAGGTGTCTGGCTTGTCAAGGCAGGAGTGTATAGTACCTAAGGGGCTGACGTTGTCATGCCTGGCTTGCATTTGCACTCTCTGATCAGGGCTTCTAGAAGGTTATTTAATATCTTTGTACTTCTCATTTGTCATTAATAGTAAAATAGTAACTGTTTCATGGAATGGTTGGAATGTAAAATGAGATAGTCCCTGTAAGTACTTAATAAATATTAGCTATTATTATCAGTTGGCTATAGAAGTTACCCAAATCAGCTTTTAAGAGTGTGCTAACCAGTGGTCATTCCTAGCCTAAAGGAATAGGGTAGAAGATGCTGAGATAATCACTAAGACTACCACTGAGGGGCGTCCAACTCACAGCATGTGGGTTACACATGGATTATTTGAGAACTTTTTTGCTTATCTGTGGTGGCGGATATCACAAAAATTACGCACAGACCTTTTTTGTTTGCTCATCAGCTTTTGTTATTGTTTGTGTATTTAATGTGTGCCCCAAGACAACTCTTCGAATGTGGCACAGAGAAGTCAAAAGGTTGGATATCCTGGAAACATACTGGACATTTCTCATTTTTCTCTACAAGGTCCTGAGTTGACAAACCATAAACAGATACCTACAAGTGTTAGGGAAGTTTTGCATTTAGAAGATTACCAAGGTTTATTTTAGATAATGACTATTTAAAGATTCTCTTATCTAAGGTTATTGATATTGTGAAAGCAAAGTGTGTAATGCCTATTACACAAAAGACATTCAATAAATGTTTATTGAATAGCTTTTGCAAAATGAGGCATTATATCTATCAGACTGTGGAAATTCATCCGTAGCTTCATTTTTAATTTTTACCAGTAAACTGTATAAAGGTTAGTTATATTACAGTTTGTATAGGATGCTCTAGAATGTTCATGGGATAGTATTCTAGACGGAACGAGGGAACTTGGTCTTGAAGCTTCACAGCTGAGAGGGAAAGAAGCCCCTTCCAAATTACATGTTGGCTCATCCATGTTAATAGCAGTTGAGGATAAAAGCTAGAAACAAAAGTTATTTGTTAATGGAGATATTTTATACAGACTAAACATACTTATTTTCTCTTCAGATCCTGCTCCATTTCTATACATAACCTCCCACCTAATGTTTTGTTGAAATAAATTACAAAATCACAGAAAACCCTGCTTACATGTCTCTGTAACTTCTGTTATACCTAGCATAGTAGTTTAAAAAAATACGTATTAGATATGGTCAATCAATATTTGTTAGTTGATGAGTTTTTACTGAACTATTAATACTTCTCAGTTGCATTTGTAGTTTTATTCTGACAGTATAAATTCTTTGATCTAGAAGAGATAGTGGTAAGAATGAAGAAGTTTTCGGAAGACCTGGGAATTTATTAGCCTTAATATTAACATATAAAGGATCCTGCTAGAATAAAGTTATATATGTAGACAATATATATATTTACTAGTAAAAACTCTGATAAATGACTTTGGTGTTTGTGAATGTAAGCCAGTGGGTTCTGTGGGATGGCGAGTGGAGGAGGAGAGCCTGTGCTGAAGAGCACGGGCGCTGGATTTGGATGCCTGGGTTTGATTCTTGGCTCTATGACTTACCATCGGCACTGGGCAAGTCACTTCATCTCTTTGTGTCTGTTTCCTCCCGTGTAAAACAATGGTAACAATAGTAACTACTTTATAGGGTTGCTCTGAAGATCAAATGAATTTGTGCCCATAAGGCACTGAGAATGTTATCTGACACATAAGCACTATTATATTCTCATGGTCATTCTTGTTTTTGTGCTTGGATATAGCTGATGTTCAGGCAGTCTTTCCATGCTTGGTGCCTAGAGCAGAAGAGAGTCATGAAGATTTTTTTTTTCTTTTTCTGGGATACATGTAAAAGCTTTGCTTAAAGGCCTAGAATTTAAAACCAGCTATTTTTCTTTTTAAATTCTCATAGGAGAGCTTCTTTTAAAAAAATCTAGTATTTAAGAAATTGATGTCAAAAGGCAGGTAGCACTATTTCACTCCAAAGCAGTGTCTCAGCTGTTGCTCTGAGATGGTTTTACAGCAAGCAATCCGCTGCTGAAAGTGCTGTCTCTCATATCAAATGGTCATTAAAAGTCCCATGACACTTCACCCAGAGATGGAGAATCCTTGCTGTATCTTGGCAAGGATTTAAATTTGAGATGATATTCCCTTAAAGCGGTTAAGGCATTTGTATATTTTCTACTCCCTGGTGCTTTTAACTACAATAGTTTTGTTTTGCAGGAAGGTACTCTCTTCAGGTGGCTGTAGATTTATGGAGACTATTGAAACTACATGGCCTTAGTCAATCACATTTACAAAATGCATCTTGCCCTTTGGTTTATGGTTTTGGTTTATGATTTTGTAAACTGACAAAATTCATTTACATTGCTTAAAGTCTTCATTTTCCTATCTTCCTTATGAGAAACTCCTCTGAACATTTGTACCTGAGTTGTTGTTAGGCAAATGTCATAAATTCCTAAAGCGGTTAAGCTCAGAAGGGTCCCTATAGATCAAAGTCCTGAAATAAAATATGGTGCTCCAAGTTGATAGATAAGAGAATGAACTGGACTTCACTGTGTTAATAAGAATGTGATAACATAATTATTAATTATGAAATTAATCCAGAAAATTGTAATGTTATAGAAAAATGTTTCAAGTCAGTAACACAAAGCAACTAAAATAACTTTTCATGTACACTTTTAAAAAGTTAAGTGTTATCAATTCTCAATGGGGTCTTTACTATAGTTTTTGCTTTTATATTGTACTCAGATCCCATTTCAGGTCATTTGAATACAAATTTTCTGTGTTGAGGCTTTGATTATACAGAGAAATATTTCATTTTAGTTACTGTTGGTGCTTCTCATCTCTTGTCGTCTCTGATCTTCTTCATATAGTCTCCTCTTTTTATCAGGCGACTGTTCCCCAGAACGGATTAGGCGAGTGAGGTGCGGGTTTCGTTGTGTTTCTTTGCGGGTGATGCTGCTTTGCTCTCTCCAGCTGTGAGCCCGGGCGCTGACAGCTTCTCGGCGGGGGCGGAGCCTGGCTGTGCGCCGGGGGCGGGGCCTGGCGAGGGCGGGGCTTTCCCGCGGAGCGCGGCGGACCAGCCCTTGCCAGGTCTGTGGCTGCGAGCGGGGCCCGGAGGCTGCTGCGGCAGTGGCCGGAGCCGGATGCTCGCGGGCTCCGGGGGACTCCAGCCGTTTTCTTCGCCTGCGAAGCAACAACTCGCCTTGGTCTCGGAAGAAGACTGGGCAGCAGTCAGCCCGAAAACTCTCAGCCTCCGGCCTCTCCCAGAGAAAGCCAAGTGTTCCCAGGTGAATCGAGTGTGCGAGCGCCGTCCCGAAACGCCCGCCGGCAGATCGCATCCCGCGGAGACCTCGGCCGCCGAAGCTCTTCCAGCGCCTGCGGCTCAGGGCGCGCGGGGAGAGTGTGGTCCGCTGAGGGGGCAGGAGAGACCAGGGTACCAGTGATGGACGTACAGAGCTGGCCGGTGGGCTTTCGCTGTCTCCTCCTCTTGGCTCTCGTTGGTTCTGCTCGGAGCGAGGGCATACAGAACTGCGAAGAAGTTCGGAAACTTTTCCAGTGGCGGCTCGTTGGAGCTGTCAAGGGGCTGCCGGATTCGCCGCGGGCAGGTAAGGCGCGGCTGGCTGGCGCAGGGCATGAGCGCGGGCGCGGTGCGGGGACGTCTGAGCGCAGTCTGCGCTCCCCGGGGCTCTCCTCGGTGGCGCTTCGTGGGAAGATAACCTTTGAGGCTCTCCAGGCACGCCAGGTGAATCCCGGTGAGGCCTGTGGGGATGCTCGCTGTGCACATCCTGAGCATAGCTCGGGTCAGCTGCGGGGACTCCCTAACTATGCCTGTGGCTGAGCCCAGTTCTGGGCATTTGCTTCCCGCTTGGGCTCCTTTAGTTTCGGATGATGAGTTGGAAAGAGCTGGTGAAGCAGACGTCTGGGGACATCGCAGCCTGATTGCATTTCTGTTCCGAGTGGGAATTCATCAGTGTCCCGCCGGATGTTTTTGACTTGCTGCTTTCTCACAAGGTGGAAGGAATCGGTTTGGTTGCCCCAAGTATGATATTTAAAACACAGCTGCGTTAGTCTTTACGGGGATTGGGGCACTAACAAGGGCAATCGGTCTCCCCTGTAATTGGCACTCCGAGCCTGTACATCCACTGAGACTTGACCCTTAGCTGCAGTTCCGGACCCTGGCACCAATTCCTCTTTGCAGAAACCCCAACTGGCCAGTGTGTCTCGCAGAACCACAAGGTGGTTTCACAAAGATGTTATGGCAACAGGCGATCTAATTGAACGTATTGGGAAGCCACTTAACATGGATGAGTTATACTAGAAAATCAAAAGGAAAGAAGTCTCTGCCAGTGTAAATCATGCTTCTTGTAAGTACATTTTGCCCGTGCTTTCATACCCTGCTCCTTATCCCCACCACACAGATTTTCTTCTACTGGAAGGATTTCTAGTGTATGTTCTGTCTGTAAGGTTAAATCTTAATGGTCAAACACAACAGCAGGTGTCTGGACTAAGTAAGATCGTTGGGAACAATGCCTCTTTGACTATGGAGCTAACACAGAGGATCTGCGAGGTTACTGGCTGAATAAAGAACTGTGGAAGATGCTTGAGTCTAAAATCCATTCTCTGCCTGAGTTCCCTGGGTGGAGAACTTGCTCTTAGCACTGCTGAGCTGTAGCAGCTTTTCTTCATGGCCTTGTGGTTGTGAACTTAACTTCAAGTTACCCTAAGAAGAAAATCTGGGGATTTGGGAACATTGACTACTTTGAGTTTACATGACCAGTCTTAAACAGACACAAATATTTACTTGAATATCTGTTCAATACTAGGTTTTTGTTTTTTTCTATACTGCTTTTGAAACATAGTTGACATTCTTGGTTTGGGGCAATTCTTCTGGGTTCAAACAAAATACCCCGTTAAAGATCTATGATTTCTTATTTTACTGCATTCTTGTCCTTAAGAAATAATCTTGATGTGTCAGCTGCTGATCAAACTAAAGTGGGTTTGTGTATAAGGGTTGTTGTAGGTTGTTGAGCTCTGACATCTTCCCTTGAATTGTTAGATTTTGCTCCTCCAAATAACTTTTGCTGCTTCTATGTCCGGTGCAAGTTCACAGCTCTCTAGTGAGGCCTTCATTTCAACCCCACCCCTCATATCACAGTATTTCTGATACCTGCTGACTGCAGCACATTGACTAGATGTTAGCGTTTGTAGAACCTTGTGTGTATGAGTTCTTTTGAAGAGGAACATTCCAGAGTATCAGTTATTGAAATAGAGTTTTACCAGAATGTAAGGGAAAACTGAGGCTCTGCTCTACAAAGAAATGACTGTAATTATTTGCATTTGATATGCATAAGCCCCCCCCAATTATGAGGATGAGAATAATCTACGTCCTTCTGGATTGTTTCCCCATTTTTATTTATCTGTGGCGTATGGTGATGGAGGACTCCCAGAAGCCTGTAACGTAAGAGCTTAGAGACATCTGTGGTCTGATGAAAAAGAAATGCTAATTTTCTTTGATTATTTTCACTTAAAAAGTCACACAACAGTATCATTTTTATTTAGACTTACCAAATAAAAGGGATCCATGCATGGATTTGATATAATTCTGAAGTTTTCTTATCTTTGTATTGTTGGTCACTCTCTTATTTGAATAATTCAACAAAACATTAAACTGTTTCTTTTAACATTGATTTCTCTCTTCTCACTAAAAAAAAATTTCTCATTCCCATATTGAGTAAACCACACATACCACATGCTTCGTAAGTGTTTTTCTTTACTTTTGTATTTATATCCTATCTAAACATTTCACATGATTAAGTATAGTAGTTGGGGATCTTATTTTCTAAAAATTATCCACACTCTCCATAGAAAACATAGGTAATATGTAAGTAGTCATTTCTACATGAAAATACAAATTTTAATAGGATTTGTACCAAATGGATTCATTTAGCACATAGCTTTTCATTAACCAGGGATAATACATTTGATATTTGTTTTCCTTGGAAGTATTTTTTTTTTTAGTGCTTTCTTGCATTTCTCGTCCACAGTGGTTAATTGTTGAGATGACTAGCCAAAATGCTATTCTTATCATCTAAGCAGATAGAATAATTTGTTAAAGTTTCTTAGGTTTCCGACTTTTACTTCAAAAAATGTTAGGCAATTTGTAATTGTTCAAATGGTGAGAACAGCCATTTAGACTGTTTCTCAGATTCCCCTCACCTTTGTTCTCTGCCCTGCTCCAATTCTATTAAGCCTATTGAGCTCCTAAGGATGTTTGGATGAGAAATGTAAAAAAGGAGAGAAGGTGTAAATGTGATTAGAATTACAGATTTCCCTGTGTTCTGATTTTATTTCCTTAGTAGTAGTCAAGGTGCCCTTTGCTCTTGTTTATTTTATTCAGAAAAGAACTATTAGTGAAGTGTCTTTTAAAGGTCCATTCATTTTCTTTGTATTTATTGAGGAGAGGGGACAATTCTCTTCATATATGCACGATTCATACATATATTATTTCCAATTTTAGAGGATAATACAAAAAGGGAAGTTTATAAAAAATCCAGGATTACATTCACATAATTTACGTAACAACTTATTTTTGAAAGGTTGATGTTGATGTTTGTTGAGTATGAACTTTCTATCAAGTTCTGTATCAAGTATATTGTCCATATCAAGTTATCTTGCAAAAGGTAACTGTCCTTGATAGCTTTTGGCTATAAATGGAATAATAAAAATAAACTCATTGGGCAAAATGAATTTTTTTTTTTTTTTTTTTTTTTTTTGCAGTTTTGGCCAGGGCTGGGTTTGAACCTGCCACCT